TTGAATACAGTTAGGGGTTGTTTTAAAGGGAAAACAGGAATATTTCAATTTGTCTTTAATGGTACAAATTAGTACAAATTCAGGACTAATTATTTCTGCTTTGTTGTATTTTTTTGATTATTTTTTGTGTGGTCCTGCTAGCTTAATATAAAGCTAGCAGCGCCACGAGTTTTTCTTAAATGGCACGGGGTACAAAATTATTTTTGGTGGTACAAATTAGTACAAAATAAGTACTAAAAAATCCAATAGGTCGCATTCGATTTTGCTGATTTGGTCCTGCCAACTTGAGAGAGCTGCATTACGTGATATTTTGGAAAACTGTGATATAATAAAAAATGTGTATAAAGGAAGCGTAACTACAAATGATGGAAAAACTGCAATAATTTTATCTAGCAATTATTTACTAGAAGCTTTATCATCTGCTACAGAACTCTATGTAGATGGATCATTTTCTATAAGTACCATAACCGTTTCCTCTGTATGACATTTTGACAAAAAATGACAATAGTATAGTAGCAAGTACTATAGTATAATAATAGTACTGTGGCAAACAAATTGTAACAATATTTATAATGGCTAACATATCATAAAACTTAATATAATTTTGAATTAGATTATGAAAAAAATTATCGTATATGTCTCTCTTAAGGTTCCCCCGCGCAAACCTCATATTATGCAACTTTACTCTGTACATACACGATACATGGATACGGTAAGATATTTATTTAATTGAAATTTTGGAAAATTGGTTAATTAAATTTGTGAAACTCAGTAATAATCTAATTTTTCCAGGGCATTGCAACATTATTCATTTTGTGTGATGTGCGTAGGGCTACTATGTATGATATTTTGTGGGATAAAATTATACAGCTGGTACCACAACTTAAACAAAACATTAATTTTGTAATGAGTGATTTTGAAATGGCTGCAGTAAAATCGCTTAGTATGAAGTTTACCACAGCAAAGTTAACTGGATGTTGGTTCCATTTCAACCAAGTATGTACAACAATCATAAAAAGATAAAAATAGAAAGATGAATTAATGAAATATTAAATATATTAAATATTTTCTGAATTTTAATATTTTTTTACGTAGTTTTTATACGTGATAAGAAAACTCTTAATTTCCTGATTTCTCACATTCATAAATATCATTTTAATTGTGTTACATGAACTACATTGTTTTCATTTTTTACAGGCTGTACTGCGTAAATGGCGAAAACAACGTCTTTCAAATGTTCCAAAAACTGTACTTTCCATGGCAATGGCATTACCTTTATTACTACCACATATGTTTCAAGAAGCTTTATTCATTATACAAGCTGAAGCCGATTTACTTTCTCGTGAATATCCAGATATTTTACAATTCACATCCTATTTGAGACTTTTCTGGTCAAATATGGCATCGAAAATTAGTACTTATGGTTGTCCTATACGTACTAACAACATAGTTGAAAGTTTCCATAATATTGCAGGACAGAAACTAGGCACAAATAATATTAACATTTGGACGTTTCTAGGTAATGTTTAATTTATTATTACAAATATTATAATTTGATAAATTATTTTTTAGTTTCATGTTTTATTAATAATCATTTAATTAATGTAACTCTATATCAATTTTAATTAATTTTTCTTTTTTCTAGAAAAATTATCAAATTTAATTACCGATCAAGAACTGGATTTTCGTCGCTTAAAAAATGATGTTAAACCTCGACGAAGTCACACACGGACAAATAGAGAACGAGATATGAAAATTACTAACGCGCAAAGAGACTTATTGTTAGTTAATAAAAGGTATTATTTTATAATTTTACAATATTTAATGCTTTGAGTCAAAAATGTTAAAACATAATAATTTAAAAGTTATATTAAATTTCTAATTGTTTTAAGGTTACCACTAAAAGACTTTTTACTCATGTTTACCACGAATTTTCAAATGGAACAAGTGACGTTATTTGAAGGTGAATATATTATTTTCTACATTCACTACTATCTATTTACATTTCTTCTACACTATCTTCATACATTATATGTAAATTATATTTACAATTAGGTATCTGTATCATGATCTTATAATGCTCATTAAATTTAAATATTTAAATTGGAATCATAATACATTATACATAATAATAACAGATTTATTCCAAAAATGTATAACTGTCTCTTTTTTTAAGATGCTGAGTCATCAAGTGATATTATTTTACAAGCCGCAGATATAGAGTTGTTCACAGATAATTTAAATGAAACATTTCAGACAGGTAAATAGGATGTATAATTTCTTTTTCATCTGTAAATTTATTAAGTGCGTTAATTCTTTACAATTTTGAATTAATTTTTTAATCTGTTTAATATATGATCAAAAACTTTCAGTTTGTTAACTCTTTCAAATTTTATTACAATAATGTTGTTACACACTCTACATATATATAAACAGCAAACCGCTAAAAATTTTTAAATTATTTGATGATTTTACAGTACACATTTTAAATATTAAAAAAAGTCAATTTAAATATTAGCTCTAAATCACTTAACTTTATTTATGTTCTCATAAATCATTTAATTTTTTTAAATTTTAGGCAGACAAAATAACCCTAGACACAGAAGATCTCGACCTAAACAAATAAATTCATCTAGCCGAAGAGAGGAAGAACATGTAACCAGAAGAGATGCAGGTAACAAAAATTTTGTCATACCTTACAAGTCTTTAAATGAAATTTTTCAGATGTTTTCATTATGATGCTAATGATACTCGCATATCTCTTTTCTACTACTTTTCTTTACTAGTTGTGTATAAATATATTATACAGGTATGTATAAAAATAATCTTTTATTTTCAGACCAAGATTGTGAAAGTTCTCCCGATACACAGAGGACAGCAATTACACATGCAATAATGCAGACGACACAAATGACACAGCATGAAGAATCTCAGACAATCAATATTACTTTTAATTCAGAAAGTGGAATCACAAATACACAAGGTAACATTACTACTTAGTAATTCACGTTGCTTCAAGATATTAAAGTTAATTTGTCTCATATAGATTTATAGACTATATTTTAACTCTTCTTTCTCTCTTTATTAGTTTCCTTTACTAGTTATGTATTAAATAAATTACACAAAAATATATAAAAATAATTCATTTCTAGACCAAGATTGTGAAAGTTCTTCCAATACACAGAGGACAACAGTTACACATGCAATAATGCAGACGACATAAATGACACAGCATGAAGAATCTCAGACAATCGATATTACTTTTGATTCAGAAAGTGGAATCACAAATACACAAGGTAATATTAGAGGCAGTG